AAAAAAAAACTATTTTTTAGAAAGCCAAGAAGGTATTGATCATTTTGAAAAAAAAAACGACTCGTTTTACAACACCGAATGCTCAATAAACAAGTCTAAAAACGTGAGATTCTGAGCCACGCGAGCCGAAATGTCGCGTTTTTACACGTTCATCGCTGTATTTCAGCTAGTAAAAATAAAATGTACTCTATGAAAAATATGTATTTCGATGGGAAATTTCCTCAGCTTTCGATTGAGACTACTTTAAAAAATCTTAAAAATGCGCTTTTTGAGATATTTAATGTTAAAAGTTTATTTTTACAATTTTCCGTGGAAAATGGAAAATTTTTGAAAATCTGACTTTATCATCGGAAAGCTGAGGAAATTTCCAATCGAAATCATAAGTCACATATTTTTTTTAAGTGCGTTTAGGGGGTTTTTCAGCGAGATAGAAGTTAAGCAGTTTCGCCTATAAGTGCCGTGCGGCCGCTGCATGCTGTTTTGCTAATAATATTTTGTTCCCATGAGTTGGTATCACTACTTCGTGCCCGTGTATAAGCATAGGCGACCCCCTCGTCCCGCCTGCCCCTTGAAAGTGCTATCGAACCTCCTTAACGTAACCTCTTTCTGCTCGCTATAGACGTAAACAAGGGTATCGCAAGAAAGCGAATTACATAAGTCTTTGCCGAACGCTTTTTCGTGGCCGTAACTAAACTGCTTTCATGTTTAATATTATAAAAAGTTTAGTCTTAGTCATGATTAGGTCAATAATGGTAATAATTGACACACTTCGAATCACCAATTAAGTATGTCAAAAGGAGTGAGCGGATTACATAAATTATCAATCTTTTTGCCTTTTAAAGATTCAGATAGGGTCTGCTTTTATGTTTTGCAACATGATAAGACTATTCTATGAGCTAAAAAGTCAAAGTAATCGAAGTAATAACTTGGCTCAATAATATATCGCTTGGACGAAAAGATCAATACAATAACGAAAGTCATTGATAGTTTTGCATTCTAACGATTTGAAAATGTTCTGTTTTCATGTTTTTGATCATGAATAATAATCTTATCATGCCTGATAAGATCTTCAATATATTCTGCTTTAATGATTTTTAGAACATCAAGCCTAGTCGAGCTAATACAAAGCCAAAGTAGGCCAGAACATACAAGCGTTGACATTCAGAAAAGAGTACTCCCGTCGTTTGGCCATCTCATGTCCTGAATATATTCTGCTTTCATGTTTTTTAGAAAATCAAGCCTAGTTTGGCTGGTAAAAACACAAAGTAGGCCAAAAAACACGAACGCTGATTTATTATATAGAATATCAGACCACTGTGGCCTGATGAGATCGTCAATATATTCTGCTTTCATGTTTTTTAGAGAAACAAGCCTAGTCGAGCTAATAAAAAGCCAAAGTAGGCCAAAACATACAAGCGCTCATTTCGAAAAAGAATACTCCAATCCTAGGGCCTGTTAAGATCCTCAATACATTCTGCTTTGATGTTTTTTAGAAAAACAAGCCTACTTTAGCTGAGAAAAAGCCAAAATAGGCCAAAACAAACAAGCGCTCATTTATTATATAGAATATCAGACCACCGCGGGCGGTTAAGATCCTGAATATATTCTGCTTTCATGTTTTTTTGAAAAACAAGCCTAGTAGAGCTAAAAAAAAGCCAAAGTAAGCAAAAACAGACCAGCGTTAATTTTTGAAAAGAATACCCCAGTCCTTTGATCATCTTATGTCCTCATTGCTTTCTGCTTTTATGTTTTTTAGAAAACCAAACCTAGTGTAGCTGATAAAAAGTTAATGTAGGCTAAAACATATCAGCCTAGATTTATTATATCGAATATTGGACCTGTGGCCTACAAAGATCCTGAATATATTCTGCTTTCATGTTTTTCAGAAAAACAAGCCTAGTGTAGAGGATAGAAATCCAAAGTAGGCCGAAACATGAAAGCGTAAATGTTCAGAAAAGAATTCTCCCGTCTTTTGGCCATCTCATGTCATGAATATATTCTGCTTTTATGTTTTTTAGAGAAGCAAGCCTAGTGTAGCTGATTAAAAGCCAAAGTAAGGTAAAAGCACCTATTATGGAACGCAACCTACGAGTCGACCACAGAATTTAGTGTGCAATATCTATATAATACGCTAAAAGTTAATGAAAATGGAATTTATTGCTATTACTCGTTCCTATGAATGGAAAAATATGTTTATAATTTATAATTAATGAATGAAAAATTTTTTATACTAGTTTCAAACTAGTCGACCGGGTGTGCACGTTATGGAACGTCCAAAAATTGGCATGCATACGGTGTTCCATATGACATGTACCTATTATGGAACACATGTAAAATTTGGTGAATGAATTTTTTTTGTACCTAGCATTTATTTTTATAATTATTATTCGATAGTTTTTAAAAAATTGGATAATAGAAGTATTTTTATTAAATTTTGGTACTTTATTTTTGCATAAAAAATTTACAAGTTGCATTTATGACTTGGTAACATATTACTTTTTCTTTTCTTTTTTAACAATAGATGTAATACAGTTTATTTCTTGTTGAATATTTTTTATTTCTAGCTCTATTTTCTTCTTTTCCTCCTCAGCTTCTTTTTTTTCTCTTTGAGGAGTGACTTTTTCAGTTTCAGTTGCTCTAATCATTTTTAATTCTATGAATTTTATTTTTTCTAGAATGGGTGTTTTTGTGAGCGTCACTTCTTTTTTTAATTCCTGCAGCCTCTTCTTTTCTTGTGCTTTAAATTCTTTTTCTTTTTTCTCGTTTAATATCCCTAGTTTATAATCCATCCACATATCGTTAGTACCTGCTACGAGTGGCGGTTCGGGTTTACCTGTAGCATCTATTTTTTGCTGTCTCTTTTTCGGGAGGTACTCTTTGGGATAAGTAAATATTTTTTGGAAAGGAGTTAAGCTACTCTGCATTGTATTGCTCTCAGCTGTAAATAATTATAATTAAATATTAAGTTCAAGTAAATTAGCCGCATAGATGAAAATATTTTTATTTATTTACCTTGATTAATAAGCGCACTACAATTTTCTTTGTCGAGTTGCTCATTCACCTTTCCATTTGCCTTTCCATTCACCTTTCCATTCAACTTTTTTCCAGATTTAGCTGGTGAAAGTTTTTTAATACAGGTTGAAAAATCAAGTGGCTCATTGTTGCAGTTGTAATCCATGTAGACATTATTTTCTGTAATTTCACTTATTTTTTTATGTGAGACTGTAGGGGAACGTTGCATACACGTTTTGGAGATACTTGTATCTGACCCACATGTTCTTGGTAAAAGATTTTCAACAAAATCATGTGGTTCATCATTAAGCCTGAATTCCATGCGAGCATTTTCATCAATAAAGTTATTTCCTTCATCCATAGGTATATTTACACTCGTATAAACATTTTCTTCGTTTTGTACTGCAATTATTGTTATGATAGATTCAGTAGTATCAAATTCAGCATCGTTGTGGATAAGTTGCTGAGAGAAATTATCAGTGACTTCTATATTTTGTGAAACTATATCATGACTGATTGTTTGTAAGTTCTCGTCAGATTCAGCCTAAATCAAGAAGAATTGCTATAACTTCATGTTACATTATTACATATTTTAATATTCATTATAATCTTACAATATGAATCGGCTGTCCTCTTTCATCCAACACTGGTTGCAATTCGAAGGAGTTATCAGAATTCATTTTCTCTGCAATATTTGAGTTTAAAGTCGCAATCTCCACATTTTCACATGCTAGTAAAAGGAAAAGATTTCAACAATGGTTTTTTGAGTGTTAAGAAAGAAAAATATAAATAGCACCTTGTGAGTGTGATATAAAAAAAATAAGGATTGTAAATAATAAATATTATAAGAAATCAGGGTAAATAGTTAATCAAGGCACTATTCCAAGTTGATTAAAATGATTTTAAATGTTTGAGTTTAATGTAGTAAAAAATGTTTCATTCAAAAAAAAAATAAAAATAAAAATTTATTTGTACAAACAAGTGCCATGGACTAACTGAAATTGAAAAAATTACCATTGAAACTGGAGGCAGAGGTAGAGATTGAATTTTTCAGTTTAAGCCAGTAGTCAAAATGAGCTTTGAATTCGGTAACTCCTTTCCACAAACCAGATGCTCTTGAAAGCTCAAACTCTTCTAAAATATCTTGAGACAAACCATTTTCCACGTGTCGCAAAATTCGAACATTTAATTGTTCATTTTCTTTTGGACTCTCTTGTTTATTAGAATCTTGAACTTGATTTTCAGTTTTTCGTTTTGCAGTTTTGCCTTGCTTGCTGAATATATTAAAATTTACAGCCTTTGGATTGAAAGGGGAAAGACCAGCTGATTTGAAACCACTCTTGATATTTTTTTTTTCATTTGGCATGTTATGAAGTGCATATTTGATTACTTGTGCATAGTGCTCTTTTTTCAATTTAGGCTCACTATTTTCTTTTTTCCATTTCGGTACACTTTTTCTTCAACTCTCTTTGAAACTCTTGAAAAATGAAATGTCAAGAGGTTGTATAATGTGAGTACTATTTGGAATCAATCCTAACAATTCTATTTGTCTCTCACGACAAAAAGTGACTAGAGGAATATTGAAATGCGAGGCGTGATTGTCAGCATAAATAATAACTGGAAATTCTATATTTTGTTTCAGTAACCATGGATAGAAAACGTTGCAAATGTATCCATAAAATGATTCAGCAGTCATCCAACTGTTATCTGATAATCCTGTGCCCCATCCTTCAGGCGAATTTGTCAAAATACTCTGTGGCACTTCATCTTGATAATTATACATTACCATGGGAGGTGCACGAGTACCTGCTGCATTATACATAAACAATGCAGTAAAACATGCCTTATCAGCATCACATATGCTATATACTGTGCGAGCTCCTTTCAGAGTAATCACATTTTCACCTTTTGGACAAACTGCCACACTAGTTTCATCGCAGTTAAAAATCCTGTCAGCACTGATATTTGTTAAACTTTTTTTGCCCAAGTACTTTTGGATTTCTGCAAACCACCCTTCAATATCTTCCCTGAACACCTCAGCCCTGGTGTGGTTTAGCTGTTGAGTTTTTCTTATAGCTAAATCAGAATAGCGCTGCCTGAAGCCCGAGAACCAGCTTCTTCCTGGTCGATCTTCTGTGAAAGGTGTTTTCAACTTCATAATTTTAACATAAGAGTCGATGGCGTCTAAAAGTTGATTTTTTGTCACTGGGTGTCCGGTCTGCGTCCTGTACTTGATCCACTTAGCAATTTCATCTTCAACTTCTTTACCTAAAACAGGACCTGTAAAGAAAAGTTAAACAATTTTATTAAGTGTAATCAAGTCACAAATATGTACAGAAAATTTAAAAAAATTACCGTTTCCAGATTTTTTATCACAATCATCAGGATTTTTATTCTTCCTGTGCAAGGTGGATAGTGGAATCCCGTAAGCATCAGAAACTCTTCTTAAGGCCAAGTTAGTGTCCTGCAAAGTTTTCAATGCACCATACAGAGCTGAAGAATTGTATTTTTTTCTTTTTTGTATCGTTCTCCTTGGAGCAGCAACAACCACAGTTCTTCTCGTTACTCTGCCAGTGGCAATTCCTGTCCCAGCTGACTTCTTGACCTTTGTTTTCTCTTTTACAGCTTTCTTCTTCACATTGGTTTTTTCTTTCACAACTTTTTTTTCTTCTTTTTTATCTTGAATTCTTTTTGAACGCATCTTGTATCTGCTGTGGAAAAAGTAGTTTACATACAGTAAAGGTTAGGTTTATGATTAAGGTTGTTATGGGTTAGCATATATTGAAATGTACACAAAATCAAAATTCTCTTACCAAATAATTAATGTAGCTGTTTCACAGAACACTCTTATTTATTAATTTAAGTTTTATAATTAATTTTAACTGCCAATACACTTAGCAAACAAACAAATCCGGACGTGAGAGATGAGTGTTCCATAACGTATACAACTGCAATAATGAAGCGGTGTCTGCAGTTGGAACACCATATTTGTGTGTTCCATAAAGGGTACATGCAGATTCAAAATGTATACGTAATGAAACAGTGAAATAACTTAAATATTATTAATTTTTACAAAAAATTGTTGGCACCATACGATAATTAAAGGCTAAACCTATACTAAATGCAAAAAAAACATGATTTTATTGTGAAATATCAAAGAACATCTGCAAATGCTAGCACACTATTTTCCCCATTGGCGCTTCAATATTCATGCTAGTCACGCTGAGATACCAATTGGACGCTAAACTTTTATTTTTTTAAAACGTTTACCAGCTCAAACGCAGATGAAAATTTGGAATTATGTACTTCATAGGTATGCTATGAGGAAACTATTATTACATTTGCGGTTGAATTTCTCAATAATTGTAATAATGCATTTATTTATGGATGTTCCATAATCGTATATACTGTTCCATAATAGGTGCGTTTACCTTATGCCAAAGCAAACAAGCGCTGATTTCGAAAAATAATTCGGCACTTCTGTGGCCTGTTAAGATGCTTAATATATTCTGCTTTTATGTTTTTCTGAAAATCAACGCTTGCATTTTTTGGCCCACTTTGGCTATGTATCAGCTTCACTAGGCTTGATTTTCTAAAAAACATCGAGAGCACAATGTTTTGAGGATCTTCCCAGGCCACAGAGGTCTAATATTCTATATAATAGTTCTATGCTTGTATGTTTTGGTTTACTGTGTCTAGTAATTAGCTAAGCTAGACTCGATTTCCAAAAAAACATAAAAGCAGAATATATTGAGAATCTTAATAGGCCACAAAGGTCCGATATTCTACATCATAAATCTCTGCTGGTATGTTTAAGCTTACTTTTGCTTTTCATTCGCTGTACTAGGCTTGTTTTTCTAAAAAACATAAAAGCAGAATATATTCAGGATCTTAGTAGCCCACAGTGGTTTGATATTCTATATAACAGATCAGCGTTTGTGTGTTTTGGGCTACTTTGTGTTTATACCAGCCAAACTAGGCTTGATTTTCTAAAAAACATGAAAGCAGAATATTTTTAGGATCATAGTAGGCCACAGGTCCGACGTTCGATATAATAAATCTAGGCTGGTATGTTTTAGCGAACATTAACTTTTTATTAGCTACATTAGGCTTGTTCTTCTAAAAAACATGAAAGCAGAATATATTGAGGATCTTATCAGGCCACAGCGGTCTGATATTCTATATAATAAATCAGCATATGTGTTTATTGAGGATCTTAACAGGCCCTAGGAGTGGAGTATTCTTTTTCGAAATCAGCGCTTGTATGTTTTGGCCTACTTTGGCTTTTTATTTGCTCGACTAGGCTTGTTTCTCTAAAAAACATGAAAACAGAACATTTTCAAATCGTTAGAATGCAAAACTATCAATGACTTTCGTTATTGTATCGATCTTCTCGTCCAAGCGTCATATTATTGAGCCGAGTTATTACTTCGATTACTTTGACTTTTTAGCTCATAGAATAGTCTTATCATATTGCAAAACATAAAAGCAGACCCTATCTGAATCTTTAAAAGGCAAAATGATTGATAATTTATGTAATCCGCTCACTCCTTTTGACATACTTTATTGGTGATTCGAAGCGTGTCAATTATTACCAGTATTGACCTAATCATGACTAAGACTAAACTTTTTATAACATTAAACATGAAAGCAGTTTAGTTTCGGCCACGAAAAAGCGTTCGGCAAAGACTTATGTAATTCGCTTTCTTGCGATACCCTTGTTTACGTCTATAGCGAGCAGAGAGAGGTTACGTTAAGCGGGTAAAAATATGCAACTTTAATAATTTTTTTTCTCGTAAACGGCTGATATTCAAGGGTCACTTATATGTTGATTATTGTTCAGGAGGTCGAAATCTATAAGTAAAAAAATTTTCATCGCATTTGACTGGGACCCAAGGTCCCAGTTTGGTTAAAATTTTGATTTTTGGGACGGATAGACGGAGGCTCGGTTTTTACGGGTTCACTCCTGATGCAAAACGTGAATAAAGATGTTTCACATCAAAAGTTACAGATTCACACACTGGTTATTTTGAATATTCAAGAAAAATAGTATATTTCTCAACGGGTGCACATATGGTTTTTTAGCAAAACGAGGGATTATAGCACGAGCCGAAGGCGAGTGCTGTAACGAGTTTTGTTAAAAAACCATATCTGCACCAGTTTGAGATACTATTTTTTCCTACGAGAGCCTAAAATTAGCGGCAAAGTTGCGTATTTTAGGTTAGAGTGGGAAAAAGTACGTTTTTCTCACCAATCGATCAGTAGATTTTCAATTATACTTTTTTTGATGTTTTTCCTGTGTTTTTTAGGCTTTACAAATGAAATTCATGCAGTACATGCTACTCACTGAGATATTATATTAACTTGAAAAATCAATTTGATTCATTGAAAACTTTTCATTTTGTAATCAAATGTATAATCCACAAACGATTCGATCCCTATGCAAGTTCTTTGAGCGCGGCCTCAGCAATTTTGGCTCTTCGAAGGTTTACAGGTCGTCGGAGTTCTCCAGCTGTTATTTATTCGGATAATGGCACGAATTTTGTTTCTGCCAATGAAGAGCTATTGAAAGCAATAAAATCAGTAGATAATTCAAAAATAATAGATTATGCAGCTATCCGCGGCATTGAATGAAAGTTCAATCCACCAACTGCGTCGAATATAGGGGGAGCATGGGAGAGACTTATTCGTTCCGTCAAAACAGCTTTAGCCGCGGTCTTTTCCGAACAGACGATTAAATGGGAGGTTTTGCAAACAGTTCTTGTGGAAATTGAGCATTGCATAAATTCTAGATCGTTGACGCATGTTTCGTCCGATTCTCGTGTTCCTGAAGCTCTGACTCCCAATCATTTTTTCTTTGGTACCTCTTCAGGTCAATTGCCTTTACCACGCTATTCGAAAAAAGAAATTAATCTACCGAATGAGTGGCAATTGTCTCAATATTTAGCGGATATTTTTTGGTCGAGATGGCTAAAAGAATATCTGCCGACTTTACATGAGCGAAAAAAAGTGGCAAAAAGATCAACCGCAGTTAGTAGTGAATGATTGTGTAATAATTTTCGATGAAAATGCACCTAGAAATAGCTGGAAAAAGGGTGTTGTTATTCGTGTTTAACCAGGTAATGACAAGAGAGTAAGAGTAGTAGGAGTGAAAACAGCAAACGGTGTTTTAGTCCGTCCTAGTAATAAGTTAGTCAAGTATGCTTAGACAATTGTTTATTATTTTAAAAAAAATGTGTTTATGCGTTTAAGTAAAATGTGTTGTGCACAAAATTTGGAAATTTTGTAGAGGGGAGTGTAAACGAACAATCTAGTTTATGCTAGGCCGCATTGCTCAAGTAAGAAGGCATGAGTGAATGCATCTGCACTGCATATGCACTGGACAAAGTCCGATAAAAGGTGAGGATCGTGGGGTGCGCAAGCACAGAGGCTTGCGAACGGATGGTAGGCCGCATCACCATGGAGATCGAAAGGTGTTTTAGTTTTGTTATTAATTTTGCTTGATTTTGGTGAGCGATCTGTTCATTATTCTTTGAACTCTCAAAGGTGAAACGTCAATAAAGCTCTCATTTAATACTTAACTTCTGTTTCTTGCCTGTATTCTTTTTTATCTCACGCGTTCATTTTCAGCTACGATGCAAGTGAACGTTCACAGAATTATCTCGAATCAGTTAATGGACCTTTCAGGTACCTGATTTGCCTTTTTCGCTAGTATGGCTACTATGCTAGTAAATTTTCACCAAATTATCTCGAATTGGTTGATTGACCTTTTCAAAACCCCTGATTTGCTTTCTAAGCTGCTATGGCTACTATGCCATTGAACTTTCACAGAATTATCTTGAATCAGTTATTCGACTTTTTTCGAACCCCGATTGGCCTTCTTAGCTACTTTGGCTACTGTGAAAGTGAACGTTCACAGAATTTTATCGAATAAGTTGATCGACCTATCCGGAAACCCCGATTTATCTTAATAGCTACTTTGGCTACTATGCTATTGATCGTTCACAGAATTATCTCGAATTCGTTGATCGACCTTTCCAGAACCCCGATTTGCCTTCTTAGCTACTATGGCTACTATGCTAGAGAACGTTCACAAAATTATCTCGAATTGGTTTATCGACCTCTCATGACCCTGATTTGCCTTTTAAGCTTCTTTGGCTACTATGCCAGTGAACGTTTACAGAATAATCTCGAATCAGTTAATCGACCTTTCAGGACCGTGATTTGCCTTCCAAGCTACTCTGGCTACTATAGTTACTTTGCTAGAAAACGTTTACTAAATTATTTTGAATATGTTGTTCGACCGTTTTTAAACCGTGATTTGCATTCTTAGCTACTATAGCTACAATGCTAGTGAACGTTCACTGAATTATTTTAAATTAGTTGATCGACCTTTCAGATCGCCCATTTTCCTTTTTCGCTAGTATAGCTACTATGCTAGTAAACTTTCACCGAATTATCTCGAATTGGTTGATTGACCTTTTCAAAACCCCGATTTGCCTTCTAAGCTGCTATGGCTACTATGCTAGTGAACGTTCCTAGAATTATCTCGAATCAGTTGATCGACCTTTCAGAACCCCGATTAGCCTGCTTTGCTACTATTGCTACTATGCTAGTGAAGGTTCACAGAATTATCACAAATTGGTTGTTCGACCTTACAAAACCCCGATTAGCCTCTTTAGATACTATGGCGACCATGCTAGTGAACGTTCACAGAATTATCTCGAATAAGTTGATCGACCTTTCCGAAAACTCCGATTTGTCTTCATAGCTACTTTGGCTACTATACCAGTGGACGTTCACAGAATCATCTCGAATCAGTTGATCGACCTTTCAGGACCCTGATTTGCCTTCTTAGCCACTGATGCTACTGTGCCAGTGAACGTTCACAGAATTATCTCGAATCAGTTGATCGTCCTTTTCTGAACCCCGATTTGCCTCCTTAGCTACTCTGCCTACTATGCCAGTGAGCGTTCACAGAATTATATCGAATTGGTTGTTCGACCTTTTCAGAACTTCGATTTGCCTCCTTAGCTACTATGCCTACTATGCCAGTGAGCGTTCACAGAATTATATCGAATTGCTTGTTCGACCTTTTCAGAACCTCGATTTGCCTTCTTAGCTATTATGGCTACTATGCTAGTGAACGTTCCTAGAATTATCTCGAATTTGTTGATCGACCTTTTCAGAACCCCTATTTGCCTTTTTAGCTACTATGGCTACTATGCTAGTGAACGTTCACATTATACATTTTGAAGTAGTTACTTCCTTTTGAAAAAAATGACACGTTTTTATATCAATAACAATATTAAGCTAATTGTCGCGCCAACAAATATTACATTAGATCAAAGATTTAAAAAAAATAAATAATATTATGTTCATATGTTTGATTTACTCCGCACTTTACTCTTTAGCACATATCTTTAATCGATGACATTCGAAGGCCGGATAAGGCAAAGCTTTTGTGAGTATATCAGCTTGTTGGTCCTTGGTGTTGATATACTCGAATTCAAACATTATCTCCTCGTACTTCAGGCGAACAAAATGATACTTTATGTCAATGTGTTTAGTCCTTTTGTGGAAAACTGGATTTTTTATTAAGCATATTGCGCTTTTGTTGTCCACATAAAGTTATAATTTGGTTTTCTCCAGTAAATTGAGATCCAGAAACAATTTTCTGAACCACATAATATTTATTGCTCCCAAGCATGAGGCAATGAATTCCGATTCAGTAGTTGACAGAGCTACTGTTGACTGACGCTGTCAGTTCCATGAATTTGTGTCTTACTGTACTTGACCAGCCAACCAGTGGTAGATTTTCTTGTCTCTAGTTCCCCAGCGTAGTCAGCATCAGAGTATACTTTCAAGGTATTGGTATTTTCTTTCTTGAAAATTAGGCAATATTCTAGAGTGCCTTTCATGTATTTGAAAATGCGCTTTACTGCATTCCAGTGAAGTTTTGTCGGATTTTCTAAGTATCTGCTCGCTCTGTTGACTGCAAACGTTATGTCTGGTCGAGTGCCATTGGAGAGATATGGAGACTGCCAACAGCTTCACGATAAGGTTCCTTACTTATTTCTTGATTTGTGTGCATATCAACACAAAAATCTGAATGTGGGTCTGCAGGTATTTTGACCCGATTGGCGTCTTGCATCCTAAATCTATTAAGTATTTTAGCTGCATATGCTGTCTGTTGCAAGGTGATGGCACCTTCTTCCTGATGTCCTATTTGGATACCAAGGAAGAGTTCTGAAGTGCATTCTTTGACTTCAAATTCTTTCTTCAGTTGAACCAATAGGTTTGTTGATTCTTTTCTGTCCTTAGGGAGCAGCAGACCATCATCAATAAAAATTGCCACAACGATTCTTTTTTCTTTATCATTGTATTTAAAAATACAGGGATCAGCCACAGATGGTTTGAGATTATTTAATCTCAGAAAATTTGTGAAACGGTTATTCCAGCATCGACTAGACTGCTTTAACCCGTATAGACTTCTTTGAAGCTAACATACTTGTGTAGTACCATCATTGAAACCTAGAGGTTGATCCATGTAAATCTCCTCCTGAATCTGGCCATTGAGATAGGCAGTTTTTATGTCAAATTGGTTTATGATTAAACTTCCTTTTGCAGCTAAAGAAAGGAGTAATCTAATTGATTCATACCTCACCACTGGGCTGAAAGTTTCTTGGTAGTCTATACCTTGCTCTTGATTATGTTACATTCCCAATACAGGGTTTATAACAAATAGAATAGATTTGTTTATATATTCTCTATGGACTATACATAATTATACGTGCTACTTGAGGGGAATAGAATGGGATGGAAAATAATAAAATATGATTGAATAGACTTACAGTTTGGTTATTTATTGAAGGCTTGTATTGCTTCCACTCGTCTCTCGCTACGTCGGAGAGTACGCACTTGCACACTCGATTTACAATTGATATACTTAAGACTCAATTCGCACTAGATTCTACTTTACTTTAGTTTTTAGTCGCGACAAGTTACAATTCGATCAAGAGAGCAATCAGTCACGATGCGTCTCGTACAAAGTTAGTTACAATAATAAGGGCTGAGTGTTAGTTTGCGCCGGGTTATATACCCGATTTACTCTGCGCTTATCGGCAGGTGTTTTGCCACCGGTAGGCTTACGTGCGCGAGCGAGTTACCTCCTAGAGCTGGGCTTGCGAAATCACTCTTTGATTATGGGTCATTCACCCAATTATTTCATATACCTCTTTTCGTCTAATCTCGGCTATCGGGGCCTACGTGATCTAATGCCCGTATATCTAATGCTCGTGTGTGTACATCTTCCAAAACCGAATAATATTGGCTTTTCGATAGCCATCAGCTGTGTCATCAATGCCTAGGTGTCAAGCGACCGCGCGTGGCTATGGTGTCGTGTGCATTAGTTAGTCACGTAATTCGTTTGCATAGCCTATCCGTTATCTTAGCTTTTCGGTCTAACGCGTGTCTATGGCATGGTGCTCGCGTGTCTTCCGATCATGTGGCGAGTGAGTGACAAGGTATTTTTATCAATACGTAGTCGCGTGCGTAAGCGCGCGAGAGTAAAAGGTCGATAATTTGATTATACCGCGATCGGAAATTTGACTATTCCGTTGTATAAAAGTTGCGTTAAGATAACGTGACAATTATATCCCTTGGCGACTAATCTCGCTTTTTAACGCATAGACTTTCCAGTAGCGTCATTTTTTATTTTGGACACCCATCTACAGCCTATAATTTTAGAGTTGACAGGTGGATTTACTAGTTCCCAAACTTGATTTTTCTTTAAAGAATCCATCTCATCTTGCATCGCCTTTTTCCATTTTTGTTCATCTTGGCATGATATAGCATCTTTGTAATTAATTGGCTCATATCCTACTGCTACAAGAGCTTCTTCGAAGAGCGATGAGCTGCCATACCTTTTTGGCTGTTTTCGTAAAGATGGATCTCTTAATCGGTCTATATACGATTGAGGTGGTGTGTACGAGTTATCAGTAGATACTACCACATTAGTATCTGAGGGCTCTTCTTTCACAGTTTAATTTAAACTTTACATGGAGTCATCACTGTCATCTGTCTCGTCTGCTGATTCTGTTTGTTCTTCTTTATCCTGTGTTTCATCGTTTTTAAATAATCCACTTTCTCATTGATTGAATCTTCGTTGTCTTCTTCTCCAGGAAAATATAAATATGACATTTGACTTTTATCTTCAAAAGGAGTGCCAGACTTACCAAAAATGACATCTCTGGCTATTTCTATTTTTCCTGTATCAGGATGCCAGATTCTATACCCCTTAGTGTTGTCCTCATATCCAATAAAAAAACCTCGTTTCACTTTAGCATCACACTTTCTCCTTTGTATTTTGGGGATGTGTGAGTAGACTATTTGACCAAAAATGTGTCATTCCTTTAAGTTTGGCTTCTTGTTGTACCACAATTCAAAAGGAGTTTTGCCTTTTACAGAGCTTGTACTTGTGCGGTTTAATACATAGGTTACTGTTTTTATTGCTTCTGCCCAAAAATTGACAGGAAACTCACTAGATAGTAGCACAATACGAGCAGCATCAACGACGGTTCTATTTTCACGTTCTGCTGAATCATTTTGTTCAGGTGTATGCACTACTGTGCGTTCATGTGTAATGACATGTTCAGATAAAAGCTCTTGGACTTCTTTGCACACAAATTCCAAACCATTGTCAGTATGTATGGTTTTTATACCTTCAGGACAATGCTTTTCACTCTTCAGTACAAAGTCTTTTATGCATCTTTTAGCATCACTCTTTAAGTTGAGAAAGTACACAGATCTAAAATTTGAATAGTCATCTTTTAACAAAAGAAAAAATCTTGACCCATTCATTGACTTTGTTTGCATTGGCCCACACACATCAGCGTGCACTAGTTCACCAATATAACGAGTTTTAGATGCACTTTTGGGAAACGGTAAACGATGAGCTTTCCGAATAGCACAAGCACCACAGAAAAAATCTTTTGAATTTTCAAACTTCAAATTGAAAGATTTCAATACTTCTTTTGCTCTGTTGCAACTCTGATAAACAAACTTTTGATGCCAGTTTTCCAAAGATTCTGATACTAAAGCAGTATGTTTGTCATTCAAGTGTGGGTGTATTTCACTGTCAGGCATCTGCACTTTTATTTGCATAATAAAAAGTTTAGAGATTTCATGCTTGCGTTTACCAATTATGATTGTTCTTCCATGCTTGGTAAACCTAGTCTCAAATTTATTAGATATTTCAACCATTCCTCTGTCAAGTGCTGCATTTGCAGAGAACAAATTGTACTGGAGATCAGGCATATATAAAACATTTGCCAAGTGGTTCAAAGTCCAACTCTCTCCATCGTACGTATGAACATTTATGCTTCCTCTGCCTTAAGCCTTCAGTGACACTTTACCAGCTAATCGCACCCAAAATTCTTGGTCCAAAGGCTTGTATGTAGAGAACCATTCCTTTTTATAAGTCATGTGATCTGAAGCACCAGAGTCTTTATACCAAAGATCTTCCTTTTTCTGTTTATGCAGTTCAGACGCAAATGCTTCACATACTACAGCTTGGTCAAAAGTCTTCTTTGATTCTGAAGAATTTTCATTTATTTTCTTTTCTCTGCAGTAGTATTCTTTGTGTCCTGGTTTATGGCAGTAGTAGCATTTGATATTTTTATTTTTATTGAACTTTTTTCCAGTTTTACCTTTTTTGCTCTTGTCTGACTGTAGGTTAGCAGCTAATGCCTTAGATTCTAACACTTCTCTATTCTGCATCCGTTCCTCTTCAATGGACAGTCTCGTGATCAGATTATCCTTGGTTCTTTCAACTTTTGAAGCTGACTCCCATGATGTAAGGAAATGACTGTAGGCTTCAGGCAGTGTGTTGAGTATCTTGCATATAACGTCCTGATCACTATACTTCAGGTCCACGACGTTTAGTTTAAAGGCCATATTCTCTATCTTGGAAATGGGTGTGTCGATATCATCTGCAGGATCCTTGACATAGTTGCACCAGGACTGCTGCACTGTGTTGACGGCCACTCCAGATTTTCTATCATAAAGCACCATAAGTTTGTCCCACATTTCTTTAGCACTATTGCTATTTAAAATGTGTATCAACACCTTATCACTGCACGTTTTTACTATGATTTTTTGTGCAATACAATCGGCCCTTTCATAGGCATGCTTTTCTTTTTCATAGCTGGCGATTTGTGCACTCGTTGCCGTTTCACCCAATGCCTGTGATTTTTCTTGACTGCCTTGCACTACACCCCACACGTCGTATGATTTTAGCGTAACTGTTATTTTGAATTTCCACAAAGGCCACTGATCTCTATTTACTAGTTTGTCGATCTGCTACAATTCTCGTTCCATTTCTCTGACTTTGAGGTTAGTCAACTTTTTTGCACGAGGGCCGTTCCTAACCTCTTTGTTCCAAAAGCGAACTTTTTTGGCTCCGAAAGTAAAAACATTTACTTGTTTTTTTGAAAATATTTTCACCTGCGTACTCCTGGGCCCATAACCTGGAGAATTGTTAATTGGGCAGGATTGCAAATTGAAGATTCGTGTAGAAAATAACAGATTTATTGTAAGTGGTGTGCGAGCTATACAGAGCACAGAGGCAAGTGAGCATGGCAGCGAGAGTCGTGCCTTTTGCGACTAAGAGTGACAACATAATTGTAGAAATAATTTATTATTATTAAGTTGGCATAGCAGCGCCAAAATATGAAATGTGATATAATGTGTCAGAATATACATTATTATCAATATCGATAGGATTGACAGAGAAAGGATTATAGAGCAAGAAGATCGAAGAATCAACATCGATGCAGAAAACGCACCAATGCTACAACAACAGGAGAAAGGCCCGCCACCACAACAAGAGAGAGTCCCACCACCACTTCCAGCGAGACTATACCCAAGAATTGACCCATCCGAATGATGACGGCACTCCCAAAGGTCGTTCTTTTGTGGAGGGTGAGAGGGGATCAGCATAGATATTAAGTATAGAGGATAAGTATAAAAACTTAAGCATACAAACTGTAACCTATGACGAAGACTTGCATAGCTCATGCGGTAAGGCGCTTGCTGGGAGAGCAAAGTATCTCCAGTTCGATCTCAAGTCGAGTCAAATAATTTTTCTTTTCTATTTATTATTTTTTCTTGTATATAATTATTGTACTACATTGAGTTGACAACAACTATTTAATTGTCTAATTGTTACTATTTAATTATTATAACTACAAAAGAAAAGGAGAAAAATAATAACCACTCAAAAACATTTAAATTAATTATTATTTTTTATTAGAGATAATTTTGAAAAGCCGTCAAGGCTATACATTATGGATCGATAGATTTCTCCAAGGTGTCTTCAATGACAGCTCGAGTCTACGCGTGCGCTGAGGGTGAGATCAAAAGATCGATGAACGCACATAACACTCGCCCGAGATCATCAACAGGCCGATATATGGGTGGAGGCGGATTACAGCGAGGCAACCCGCAAAACGCACACTCAGTATCACGGTCCCAATCTTCATTATGGCAATCGGGTCCAAGTACAACGACCTCAGGGAACTCCAGCTCCTGGAATTTCACCAGATCAGCCAGTGCAGATTGCACCAAGGCCCTGTGCTCGGAATATACATCATTGAACCGCTCTAGCTGACGCAAAAGGCACTTTAATATCACGCGGTGTAAATCTGTCATGGTCTAAGAAAAAACAAAAAAAAAACAAAAAAAATTTATATACTCATACAATAATTACTTATATTATAATGAAATAAGAACTTATTATTTATTAACTGCGATACTTACGTTCAAGAAATCCATTGAACCATCTGCCATAGTGAAGCTGTCTGGAGGTCGTCTAAGACTTGAATGTACATGAACAGCTCTTTGCGCTGCTTAAATAGCGAATCGACAGGACAAGTTCAATACATTGCCGAATAATAACACAAAAAAAAAGCGAAGAAAAGGACTCGCAGGTCATAACTCCAAACAGTACATTTTACGCGAAATAGACAACGCTAGACTCACAGCAATACGCGAACTTTCCCTCGCACAAATCGACCGAGATTTTTGTATACAAACTATCGGCAATTAAAATTGTAAAACGGCATATTAATAATTTTAAGAAAGGTTGTAAAATGAAAAATAATGTTAGATTTAAGGAATGGTCGAGCGGAGATATGCATGGAAATAACGGGGTATATAAAAATTCTTGTTCGCTGGGAGTTGTTACAGTCTACGACGTAAACTTTCTCAATGAAAAAGAAATTATTAAAACTGCGAGAAGCAGCTAGCGAGCAGCTACGCATGAACTACAATTTAATGTATCTCACGTATCTTCTATACATAATTTCATTAACACACACACGACAGAAAGTAACATCATTTCGGACACACGCAGCCAGCGTAAACAATGCCGAATTGAGCGGCCTAAAATCCATTACCTATTTATTAGGCCTCTGCTATTAAACTCTTGCAAAAATATAATTCGCACGGCAAAGAAATGAACACGCGCGGCCGCGAGTGTGAATGAATATATGAGAAAAGCTGTAAAACTGCGGTGACCGTGACTTCACGAATTTCGGGAAGAAAGCGGGCCCGGGTCTGCTAATATACACGCGCATGC